GAGGAAATAAACTGATCAGGAACCGATTCTTCAGAACGTAAGAGATGAGGGAGGGCGGGACAGATCCTGCGTCTCCACTCCCCTCACTCTAGTGGCGGTCCAGTGTCGAGCTCTGTAGCAAATCTGTGGGGGGTTTGCTGGGGGGTCTGAAGGCCGTCTGGAAGCCCGGGGGTGGCGAGTGGAAGCTGGAAGGGTTGGAAGGAGCAGGGTAGGGGTTCCAACTGGCTCTGTGCAGCGGGATCTGTGTGCTGAAGGGGGCGCTGTGGTGGGGCTGGGAGGGGGCAGCGCCGGGGCCGTCCATCTCTGTGAGGGCCTGGAGGGATTTGAGCCAGTGGGGAGGATTGTCATCTTGAAGAGAGTCTAAACTGTTTCCTGAAGAGGCTGGGATACCTGGGAGGGAGACAGAAAGCGAGAGAGAGCCATGAGCCTGAGCAGCAGGCATCGCAATTCCGTCTAACATGTGGTTCCCTTCGTGTGTGACTGGGGTTTCTGTAAACTCCTGTCAGAGAAGACCGTTTTCATCGCGTAGCTACCCCTTTGATCTCCCACCACAACGACCAAGGTGGGTCTCCATGCCAGCCCGCATCTTCCTCTTAAGCCGCAGACCCAGATCAGACCCCACTGCCGAGCTCTGACACCAGTCCCCACAACTGCACAACGCTCTTTCCCATTTGGGTGGCCCCTTCCTTGCGAAGGACACACGCCCATAGCCTTATAATAGAGAGCTTTATAAAAACGGAGTGGAGCATGTTCCTTCTTCTTTCAGGAGGCTATGTCAGAGCCTGTTTTACCGGGAGGCCTGTGGAGTGTACGCGTGCTGCCAGACACCAACACCTACTGAGACTGAAAGAAGCAACCAAGGTAAAGGAGGCTGCTTGACCCAGCTGGCAAGCACTGTTCAGTGAGACCACGTGACCCCAAGGAACAGAGCGAGCGGGTGGCCCAGAGACAAAGAGCCCGCTGCAGGTGCCTTTGCTCCTCTGCAGGCTGTGCTAAGAACCAAAGGCTGGGAGTCAGCAGAGCGGAGGGAGGGGGAGAGGGAGTTACCTGTGATGATGGCCGGGTCTGTCCAGCTGCCCGGGCTGTCCCAACTCAGACCGTCGCTGGTGGCAGTGTTGGATGTTGGTACACTGTGGTTGGCGTTGGAGGGGGAGGAGGAATGGGGCAGTCCACCAAAGCTGATGTTAATGTTGGGTAGTAGTGCCCTTAGCCCGTCCTGCCATTCCTTCATATTTAAACTCTCTACAGAACTGCTGTTGTCTGGGAGATTTACCAACAAAAAAATGAAAGATAAAAAAAACAAAACAAAAATAAAAAACTGACGTTAGAAACATATCCTGTTCTTTAGTGGGTAAGCGGGAGAAGATGCATTCTTTCTTTCGTGAGCATTTAAAATGGGTTGTCCTAGCTAGATACACGTGGTTAGGCTTCTACTGGTGAGCGCAGGGCCCCGTGGGGAACGAGCAAGGACTAGCTCAGAGATCAGAGCAGGGAGTGCTTCGGCTCCCCAAGCCTTCTCCCATCACACCTCTGAACGACGCCAGGGACAGCGGCTGCGCTCAAGCACAGCTGACTTCTGCCTACACTGTGGACCGCGTCTCACGCAGCGACAGCGTATGCTAAGGAAAAGGCAGGCTGCATAGTGCAAAGGAAGAGCTGGTTTCTGAGCCTCTTCGATGGAGGGAAAGCCCCTTGATGAAGAACAAACAGAAGTCAACGGGAGAAGAAAAATCATTTAAGTTCTGCCTGCTCATAAACCTGGTAATGCGCATCAGAGGAGAAAGGCCGGAGGGAAGGGGCGTTCGAACGTGGGGGCCACGACTTGTCCTGTAGTCACAAAGGCCACAGAGGCAGCGGCTAAGAGACCTGGTTTGGGTGGCGTTAATAACACAGTCGGCCACTATGCCCAACACACCTCTGGGGACCTACAGTTCGCGGGGCCCATCTCTGAACAGGGTCACTCAGGATAAGACACTTGTGAGGGAAACGGGCTTCTCAGAAGGTGTGGCTACAATCACTTGCTGACTGCCACCCAGAATCCTCAGCACAAGAAACTAAGTGGTTAGGAAAACAAGAGGATAAAGGGTGACGGCTCCTGAGAACAAAGGCTTTCTTGAAGCCTGGAACACAGGCCAAACTCCTTCCGGGACTTGTTTGGTTTTTCAAAGAGCTGCGAAAGTCATCTGATTGTAGAACAACTGCCAGGCACTGCCACTGGTGACGACAGTGGTGGTGGTAAACAGGAAGCTCTACTGAACAGTCTACGCGATTTGGCGAATCCAGAATTTTTGTTTTAAGAATCTTGCTTTGCACCCATCGAGCAACCCAAGTGTGCCAAGTTATATGGTGTTTCAGCACCACTGACAAGAAATACGTCCAGTGAACCCAACAATGGTCACTTCTGAACTTACTGGTTAAAGTGCTGAAAAAGGGACTCCACGCCACACGAGCCCGTCAACCAGAAACAAAAATACTTAAATTCTCCAAGCCCACTTCTGTTTCCAACCAAGGAACTGGAGTAGGCCCCGCCCACTCACTAGGCTCTGTGCAGCCTGCCTAATTCACAGGCAAGGGAGATCCAAGAACATGCTCGAACGTCCCCCAAGAACAGATGTGACGAGACCTAGCAAAGGGTAACAACAATCAAAGCACTGAACATGTTGTCTATGAAAAATGATGCTCTCTGCAGTTTTTAAAGTACGTAGTAGAATGCAACGGAGGACGACTACCTGATTGAATTATGGAATGATGCGAGCTGTGTATTACCTCCCAATTAATTTTTTTTAAAAAAAGGACTATGTATTTTTAAAGGCTTGCTGCTGTTTAAATGTGTTATGTGAAAATATTCATTTATAAGACCTGAACATATACAACAGAACACTATTCAGTTCTAAACCATCTAACAGCAGGAGGGGTTGGGTAGATGTGGTAGTTTGGGTTTGGAGTGTAGAGCTCAAAGGCACACGATATAAGGAACGTCAAGATGTCATGCACCATGCCCTCATAGTCCCCTGCGGGAGAGGTACAGTTGACTTGCCGTTTACCTGACTTAGAAGACCTTTAAATGAAGAAACTGAGGCTGACATCCTGCCAACTTGCTGGGGGCCCAGCACCCAGGCCGTAGCAAAAGCCAAGCATCACCCATGAAGCAAGTGGGGAAATCTAGCTTTTAGCAAGCACCGCCCACGTAGTATGAGCACACGTGGTACATCTGCCAGGACTGCAATCAAGGTGACCCAGCACAGCAGCAGCAGCACGACAGCCCTCAGCCAGACCAGGCTCTCCTGAGGCTTCCTGTCCATGTGGGGAGCAGCATGGAGCATGCTCAAAGCTCAGCAAGCACAGTCGAGACTCGTACCTCCTTGTGTCTGGTTAGTGAATGTGACAAAAGGCTTGGTCAGACAAGAGAGGTCCAAGAGGGGCCTGTGCTTGGGGTGAGGGGCCACGGTGACCCCCTAACGCAGGTGACGTGCTCATTACCACATGGACCCTCTCAACCCCCCAAAATTCACAGGCAGTGGAAACTGCTATTTCTACCTCACACTGGACACATCACCCCCTCCCTAGGAAGTCCAGGAGCTGGCCCGTGAGATCCTTGGTGACAATTACAAGGCCAAGCCAGGCTACGTTCTGACCTCAGACCGTCCCCAGCACAAACAGATGACTGAGGCAGGCCTGAGCGGTGGAGGTGGCGGTGGAGGTGGAGGTGGAGGTGGAGGTGGCGGCAGCAAAGTGGGCTTCTTCCCTTTCTATTTCCCGGATTCACGGCAATATGCAAATTGTTACCAAATGCAAAAAGTCCAGCTGACTACAGGTGGCGGCACCTGCTCCTTATGTACTAGGAGCCATCCTGGAGACAAGCCCCTGAGTGAGGGATTCTAGTGGGAAACGAAGCTCATAAGAAAGATAGGTTTTCAGGCTGGTTTCACAGCCTGCAACCATCTCAGGCCACTGGAGGGACAAACCATCTCCTGGGTGCCAGGTGAGATTCCACGTCAAACCCAGCTGTGCAGCACCCGGAGTAACCACCCAGAAGACCTTGGTGTGAGGGCCACCTACTGAGGGGTCCCCGCCAACCAAGGTTGCCCCATGACACCTTCCACTACCAGGGCTGTGTGCTAGCTCCTCAGGGAAGTCTGGCCTCGGCTGTTGGCTTGGTTCTTGGTTGGCACCTGCATCGAGTAAGGACTCATTCCTTCAGCGGGATCCACAGGTCCCACCACTTCTGACGCAGCAGCTGGGGCCCAAGCATTCAGGCTGCAGGTTCAAGTGCTCTCTACCTCCTTCCTCCACAGGTGCACAAATATTCCTTAAAGATTGTAGTCTGCTCTTCAGCCTTGACCAATGGTTCCTCCTCATGGAGGAGACCTGGTAACACAGAGGTTAAAGCGCTGACCAGATGGGGTAGTGGAAAACCAATTATGTATAAAGCAATATAAGCTTCTAGTGTTTGTTGTTAGGGACCGTCACACAGGGTTCAAGTCATAGCGACACTGCCCAAGTGAATGAAACAATGCCCAGTCCTAAGCCATTCTCACAATCACTATTGTTTGAGCCCATTGTTACATTGTGTCAATCCATCTTCAAGAAGGTCTTCGTGATTTTTTGGTTGATAACATGCTCAAAGCATATGAAATGAAATCGTGCCATCCTCGCTTCTAAGCAGCATCTGACTGTACTTTGTCCAAGGTAAATTGGTTCGTTTTTCTGGTCGGCCACAGTGTATTCAACAAGCTTCACTGGTAACAGAATCCAAATGCAGATACCATTACCACACCCTCATTCTTAAAGAGTTACCCTTGCTTTTGAACACTTTGGGCAACAAATCTTCCCCGTACAATACATTACGTAATTTCTTGGCTGCTGCTGCCTCCGTGGGCATTGACATGTGGGTTCACGTAAATTATTCTTGATAACTTCAATATTTGCCCTGCTTACCAGAATATATTGCTTCCTGGTCGAGTTGTGAGGATCTTTGTTTTTATGTTGAGATGTAATCCACCTGAAAGCTGTGGTCTGCAATCTTCAGGAAGCCCTCCTGGCTTCTTTCAACAAGTAGGGCTGTGGCATGTCCATCTTGCATGTGTTTTCCCGAATCCTGATGCCACACTGTTCTCATACACTCCAGCGTCTCAGGTTTACCCGACATACAGACTGAGTAAGTAGGCCGAAGGGATATGATACAGATGCACACCTTCCCTTATTTTAAAACAGGCAGGGTCCCCTTGTTCTGCTAGAATGACTGTTTCTGGGTCCATGTACAGGTTCTACATGAGCACAATGAAGTGTCCTAGAATTCCCACTCTTCTCTATGGTACCCAGTTTGTCATGATCCACAGTCAAAAGCCTGATAAAAGACAGATCAACATGTTCCTGGTAGTCTCTGCTTTTGGCCAAGAGCAACCTGACATCAGCAATAACAGTCCTTGTTCCATGTCCCTTCTGATTCTGCTCACATTTCTGGCAGCTCCCTGTCTATGCACTGCTGCAGCCATTTACAAAAATTATCGTCCCACAAAAAGGGTGCATAAGCAAATGTGGTGAAGAAAGCTGATGGTGCCCGGATATCATAAGATATAGTATCTAGGGTTTTAAAGGCTTGTAGTTAAACAAGCGGTCATCTAGCAGGGAAGCAACAAAGCCCACATGGAAGAAGGACACCAGCCTGTGTAATCATGAGGTGTCGATGGGAATAGGTTTCAAAAGTTCAAAATCAAGCAATCAAATTGATGTGAAGAAGCATAGACAAAGTGCAGACCCCAAACCCACCTGTAAGATAAGTGGACAGTCCTTCTCAGAAGGGCCACAAGAGAGGGAATATATATCCACGGGCAGTATAGCATTGATGAACCACATAATGATCCTCTAGTTCTTTAATATTTCCTCCCTTTACTATTATGGTCCCAGTTTTACCTCATTAAGCTTGTTACACCTGCAAATATTCATGTGTATAATCAAGATCATTTGATGCCTAAACTCCAAGATGCAGTACGGGATGAGACGGGGGTGGGCGTCGGAACAAGACTGACAGCAAAGTTGACTATATCGCCCCACTCGAGGGGAACGAATAACAGACTTGTAGGGGAACGAACACAGTGAGCAGTGTAAGATATGGCAAAAATAATAATAACCATTTCTAATATCAGAATAAGGATTCCTTGGGTTAGGAGAGGGGAGAGAGGAGATAAAGGGGAGCTGATTATCAGAGTTCAAGTAGAAAATGTTTGAATGATGGTGGCAGTAATTGTACAATTATGCTT